GTGAGTTTAAAGTCACGGGTCTGGGACTTGAACTGCAGTTGACCATGTGGGAGTCCAGCAACATAACTATTATGCCAATTGCTACTCCTATCATCTTTTTTTTTAATCACAACTTACTTTTGTGAGCACTAACCCTGTCTCATGAGAGCTAGAACTCACTGGTTTCAGGAGGCACCATTAATCCATTCATGAGAGTAGTGCTTCCATGATCTAATCACTGTCTACTAGACTTTACCTATGAAAATTCTTACCACTTCTCAAAACAATTACACTGGGAACATGCTCCAAAACCTAAAACTCTGGGAGGACACATCATTATCCAAACCATGACATTTTCTCATTGGTTTTGAAGGTCTATGTCTTTCTTACATATAAAAGACAAGCATCCCTTTTTAACAGTCCCCAAATAGTCACTTGTTCAAGCATGAATAACAAGGTCCAAAGTTTCAAGTTTCATCTGAAACAAAATACATACTCACCAAACAGAATAATGAGACAGACCATGGGGTAGAAATCTTCATTCCACAAGACAAAATGAGTAACAAGTCCCAAGCAAGTTCAAAATTCAAGAGGGCAGATATTCCTCTTAAAATTCCATGCAATGCCACCATTGTGGTGCAGCTGCTTTTCTAATCTCTGAAGAGTTCCAGATCATTTCTGAACAGTTTTTCTTCTAAGCCTCCACTAGAATCCAGGCTTTTTCTAGCCTTTCCCCCCAAATTTCTCAAAACTCTACTCATTATTTGAACATATGGAGTAATTGCTAGTGAATCTACCTTATCTGGGGTAGCAACCAAATATACTGTTGTTTCTACATTCATGTTGTGAACATTAGAATAAGTTGAAAGCTACACACAACAGTGAGAAGTGGGTGATGAAAAATTTACGAAAGCGCAGAATACATATTCCATGATTTTGCATTGAGTCACAACCTAAATACCATTTTCTCTCAATTTGTACTAGAATAATATTGTCTAGATAGCGAGGACATTTATAATGCACTGGACTGGCACCGTTTCATTCCCTTTTTGCTTTCCAGAAAGGAAACATAGGAAAATATAGAAACTAAAGTAACTGTTTTAGAGTTTGGATTTTTGTTTTTAATTATAAATTAAGGCAATTTTTGTGATAACAAAAGTCAGAATTTTATGAGTAGTTTGTTTTTTTCTTTCTTTGCTTTTTTGAGTTTTTCTTTTCTTTTTCTTTAGCATGTATCCAATCTCTGGAGAGACATAGAGAGACAGAGAGAAAGAAAGCAAGAAATTTCCTACATGGGGGATGACCATGCCACAATACCTTCTCCACTCTCCTCTCAGGATTTTGGGCAAGCACACACACGTGCCCAGTTTAAGTTTTAAGCTGTCAGGTTTTGGGGTTTAACAATGGTTGGTGATGCTGGAGTCCAGCACCTCAATCACCGTGCTACTTGCTGGCCCCTGATATTTTTTATTTTTTTGGTTAATCATTTTAGTTTAGAAACAACATTTAAGATAACTATTCATAAATGTACCTAAATTCGTTCATTGCTTAACAAATTAATTATTTAAATTGAGTATAGCAATGATTAAGTTGAGAAAAAAATGAAAAGTTGTTCTCTAAGTAGAAATCTTCATTTGACAACCATCATTTTGCCACATTATCATTAATAAAATTTTCCTGCTGTATAGGGGCCTGTTTATATCTGTCAAGAGAGAGAGTTTTACATTCATTAGTGAAGGAAAAATAGGAGGTAAAAAGAGATTCATTGTTAGAGAACAGATGTGAACAGGAACATAGTATATTCATTTATCAGCCAGTAAATGACAATAAATCTTTTGATACAGAAAAATACCATAAATTACTCTACAACCTTTCTCATTTGATTCTGGATAGTAGTGATACTACTTTGGTCTAAATTAGATTAAAAAATTAAATTAGTAGTGAATTATAGAAGGAAATAATACACAATTGTATTGGGGAAGTACTTTAATTTGGCTTATTTGTCCCCCAACGGTTCATATTCTGGAAGTTTTTATGATCTAGAATTGATTCCATGATCATTCAACAAGTGCAGTCCAATAGTTGATAAATTCTGCAAATAAAAATGTGATTTGAAAACTACATAGATGTGCAGAATTCTTTTATCTGAGCCTTATAGCAGTTACTAAATAGAGGACACATTTGTAAAATTTCATTAAGCTATAGCAGTTATTAAATTTTGCATGGATGTTAAATTGATTGAGATGTTTGTTAATAGGTAGAACTATAAAGGTAGAGTTTATTTTCTAAGTCTATTCCAAGGGCAGAAATAAGTGCTGTAGAATCAAATGATATAAACTGGCATGAATGAAGACCCATTATTCATATAACATTGGGTCATTGGGAAAGTCATAATGCATTTTTGCATAGAAAAACATAGAAAATATGTCAGGACTTTTCCAATGACCTATTATTGGCAATTCTAGCGGCAGAATGTAGCTCTTAAATTCTATTTCTCACAGACAGGAATCAGGACATTCTGGAGAAATGATTATTTCCAGATGAGGGGAAAAATACAAATGAAGCCTGGAACATCTTGTATGAGAGAGAGGGAAGGAGCAAAAGTCATATCATGAGGTCAGGTGGGCCTGTTTGAATCCCACACACTTCCCTTAAACAGGATGGTTGAATCTTGAAACACAGTTAATGACTGTAGTGGATTGAAACATATCACATATAATAATATGTAATAACTTATGATTTTATAACATTATAAAAGTAAATGAATTGATCATCAGTGAAAATTGCAAGGACTCAATATTTTAAAACATTGATTAAAAAAGATAAGAAGTCAAATATTTATCTTGTCTTTCCTGTACTTCAGCTAACTAAAGAGCTTATCAAAGAAGTTATTAATTCATAGAAATATAAAAGAAAACAAAGGTTTAGACCCCATTGAAACTATGCATCTAGGCAATGCATTAGAATATGCTAACAAACATTTGTGAAAAGTTGATGGGACAATTCTAGTAAAGGTATAAGGCCAAGAAAATATGAACAAAATGGCTAATATAGGGACCACTGAGAGTAGATCAACCAGACTTTAAGTAGATCATGATGTGATGCCGTAGTAGGTGTACAACCTCATCTATAAACTATTTTTGCCTAAAAAATGAGAAACTGAAGCTGATTAAGAATTAAATTTAATTATGTGAGAGAAAATTGGGTGCTAAAGAAGCAAGTAAGAAAGTATCCTATAATGATCCAGCTTAATTCAGAAATGCATAAAAGAGAAAAAGGGAAACAACACACACACATACACACACAAACACAACAAAATAAAACTATCGTTAGACAACAAAAACAATAAGAATATCTTTAAGTGAACCAGGGGAACACTTGATATGATAATTTATGAACACTTACTATGATAATTTATTGTGATTTTTTGATCATTTTGTTGTGTGGAATAAAGGCATAAGGGTTAATTAAAAAAAAGAAGAAAGTGGGACCAGCAGATGGTGTAATGGCTACATCACTGGACTCTCATGTACCCTCCATCGTTTGCGTCCCGGACCTGGTGGCTTAAACTCATGCCGGATGTGCGTGCCCAAGATCCTGAGAGGAAATGGAGGAGAAGGGATTGTGGCATGGCCAACCCTCCTGGGGTGGTGATTTTTTGCTTTCTGTCTCTCTTTTTCTCTCTTTCTGGCAAGTGCATGTGCTCCATAGCAAACACCTCTCCAAAAAAAGCCAAACAAACAAACAAAAAAACCCCTATCAATTCAATATGCCTATTGATAAACTTGTGAAATTCAATTACTTTATGGGTGAAACACTATAGGGTAAAATGCTAGCCAAAGAATATAAGATTGGGGGCCACAGAGAATGAAAATTTTCTTATGTTGATAATTATAGAATTGGATGATGGGCACATGTCTGTTAATGTTTCTATCTTGGGAACCAGCAGTTAGAGTAATAGCTACGGTGTTGGACTTCCATGTAATCGGCTGCGGTTCGAGTCCTGGACCTGGTGGCTTAAACTCACGCTGGGGATGTGTGTGTGCGTGCCCAAGATCCTGAGAGGAGAATGGAGGAGAAAGGATTACAGCATGGTCATCTTCCCTGGGTGGGGGTGGGGGGGTTGATTTCTTGCTTTCTGTCTCTTTGTCTTTCTCTGTTTTTCTGGCAAGCACATGCGCCCTATAGCAAAAACCTCTCCAAAAAGAAAAAAAACAAAACAAAACAGAATTGGTTCATTTTCTATTTAAATTTCAAATTAAAACAATCATTTTAGTTATAATTTATAATTGGCATACTAAAGTTGCACATATTTATGGTAGTGTTATTTCTCAATACATGAATGCAATACATAATGATCAAATCAGTGCAATAAATATATCCACCATCTCAAACTTTTACCATTCCTTTGTGTTACAAACGTTTGAAATCTTCTAGCTGTTTTGAAATAACATTGAATATTTAATATCTATGGGCACTTGACTGTGTTACAGTACTCTATAATTTATTCCATATTGCTACTTGTAACTTTGCAACTATTTTAACCAAATTCTTCCCAGATAAGGCATCAATTCTATTTAATATCTGTATCATTCCCCATATGAGTAGTTTTGTTTCAGAGGGGTAATGTAAACTATTGTTTCAATATTTTACAATGAAGACATTGGCTAAGCCAGGTTGGGGATGAGATCATGCTTAGATTTCATGAAATAACTATTTCTCATTTATTCTTAATAAATGCTATAATTTAAGAAAATGCTGATTTATAGGAAGAAACAAGGGTGACTCTAGTGGGTCCAATACAGAATAGAAGACCTACTCTAGATAGACACTACACAAATAGAATACACACTAAGAAAATATGCTTACAGATGCTGATGTCTACACTCCCCTAGTTCCTAAAGAAAAATATAAATCGTTTGACTAAGTTGTTAAAGGCTTGTTTCACTTGCTTGTTCCTCAGAGTATAAATAAATGGGTTTAACATGGGGGAAATGGAAGTAGCAAGTAATGACACCCCTTTATTGATGGCCATCTTCTTTTGCTGAAGGTCTGATATAGACAAAGATGCAGCTGCTATAGGTAATGGAGACCACAATCATGTGGGAAGAACAAGTGGAAAAGGCTTTTGTCCTTTGCTGAGCAGAGGGAAATCTTAGAGTTCGTTTGACTAAGTTGTTAAAGGCTTGTTTCACTTGCTTGTTCCTCAGAGTATAAATAAATGGGTTTAACATGGGGGAAATGGAAGTAGCAAGTAATGACACCCCTTTATTGATGGCCATGTCATCTTTTGCTGAAGGTCTGATATAGACAAAGATGCAGCTGCTATAGGTAATGGAGACCACAATCATGTGGGAAGAACAAGTGGAAAAGGCTTTTGTCCTTTGCTGAGCAGAGGGAAATCTTAGAGTTGTTCTAATAATATATAAGTAGGACAAAACTACACACACCAGAGTCAGGAAAAGAATTAGCGCAGAGCAGACAACCACCATTTTCTCTATGAACCACGTATCTGAGCATGAGATCTTCAGCATAGGATTAGCATCACAGACAAAGTGGTCAATGGCATTAGAGTCACAGAATTCCAGATTTAGCCCCAAGCTAAGTGGTGGGAGGATGAGGAACAAAGTAATCACCCAACAGCAGAAGATGAGCCTTTGACAGACTCTGTGGTTCATGATGGTCATGTAATGCAAGGGTTTGCAGATGGCTACATAGCGATCATAGGACATGGTGGCCAGGAGGAAAAACTCTACTATTCCACACAGGTCTGTAAAGAAGAGTTGGCATACACAAGCATTGTAGGTAATGACCCTGTCTCCTGTTGATAGACTGTACAAGAATCTAGGAATACAGGCAGAGGTGAATGAGATTTCTAAGAATGCGAAATTTTGGAGAAAAAAGTACATGGCGGTCTTAAGGTGAGAATCCACTAATGTGAGGATGATGATAGTCAGGTTTCCACTTACACTCAACATGTAGGTGATAAGGAGAAATATAAAAATCAGAATCTGTAGCTGGGGGTCATCTGTCAGTCCCAGGAGGATGAAACTCGTTATTGTCGTATGGTTTCTCATCATTATCTTCTGAATTCTGGCCAATGTGCATTTGAAACAAAGATAAGGTTCAGCATAGGGTATGGAAATGTTTTGCAATGCATCCTGTTTAGATATACCACACATTGAATTTTGGGGACTAGTGGATGGCTTAGTGATTACTGGACTTCTACATAGTTAACTGTGTTTCAAGTACCAACCAGGCTTCTTGAAAGTCACAATGGGTTCATGTGCATGCATGCCCAAAATCCTGAAAGGAGAATGGAGAAGAAGAGATTGCAGCATGGCCATACCCATGGGGAGTGATTTTTCACTTTCTAGCTCTCTGTATGCCTGGCAAGTGCACATGCTTTATAGCAGATCTCTCTCTCTCTCTCTAAAAAAAAGCCACACTTACATTATATGTATTTATTTACTTGATAGTAAAAATTTTTAATAAACAATATATGCTCTCAACTCTATTGATATGTCCTTAGATAGGTTTGAAACGTGTCTTCTGACCCTTTAAACCAAAACATGTGGTAAGATAAATGTTTTACATTGCAATTCAGTATATATGAGGACCACACACTAAACATATTTCAGAAACAACTACAGTAAATAACAACAAAACTAATCTTTAGATTATACCTAATTATTACCTTTGGTGGTATTTATTCCAATTTATCTCACTCAAAACAAATAGAAATATAATTAAAATTAGTTTTATTGCCTACTAGATGGTCATGACCTATGATATGAAAAGTAATTGACTTTTCTTAAGAAACTTTCAATAATATGTCCCAGTATAATGCAATTTGTCAATGATATTAATAATATATTCAAAGTATAATGTAATTTGTCAATGATATTAACAATATATTCAAACGTTTAATTTAGCCTTTGGAATAGATTTGTCAATAGCATTACACTTGTTCCTCTGAGAGCAATGGAAACATGAACGTTATGTGTCCTTTATTAAGAATTTTCTCTTTATCTTAAATAAATTTTATTCAAATTTATTATCTGCTTAGAATTTATTTCTCTGGAGAGATTGAAAACACATGTATTATGGTTATGATACAACAAGATTTTCAATACCCATCTGTCAAAACAGTTGATGACTAAATTTCACTGTCATTAAAGACATAATACTCTGCAAAGTATAATTCCCTATAGACAAACATATTCTAGTATTTCTCATGAGTTTCTGGGGCTAGCAAATAGCATGATGGTTAAGGGTGCTGAACTCCCACGTGGTCGACTATGATTCAATCCCGGACCCGGTGGCTTGCTTTCTCACTTTCCCACTCTCTCCCCAGCTCTGGTCAAATTAAAACAGTAAATACAGGGACCAGCAGTTAGAGTAATGGCTATGTAGTTGCCTGCTGTTTGCGTCCTGAACCCGGTGGCTTAAAACTCATGCCGGGCGCGTGTGCGTGCGTGCCCAAGATCCCAAGAGGAGAACAGAGGAGAAGGGATTGCGGCGTGGCCATCCCCCCTTGGGGGTGATTTCTCGCGTTCTGTCTCTCTGTCGCTCTCTGTTTGTCTGGTGCGTGCACGTGCCCTATAGCAAACAACCTCTCAAAAAAAAAAAAAAAAACAGTAAATACATAAATGAAGTTAAATAAAATAATTCTTAAAAAAAAGAATTTCTCATGAGTTTCTGAAATTGTTCACAGCTTTATTTGATTTTTCAATGTTTTCCCACTTTGGTTGAGAACTCAGAGGGCTTTTGATATATATACTTAATTCACCAATATGTGAGAAAACATTCTGTAGTTGTATACAGCTGAAGACTATTATCCTAGTATTTTATACCTGCTATTTGTCTTAATGGAACACTTAGATTCTGTGTTATCAAGTCGCTGATGTTATAAGAAACTCTGTTTTATGTACATTCTCCAGTCTGATTTCCATTCTTAAATTCTGCAATAACTTTGTCTAATTCCTGACCTCTAATTCACTCCTTACTTTTTTATGACTTCTGTACATATCATTCCACTGGAACTGCTCTTGGCAGGTTTACCTTCTATTGCTTCAAGGCTAAATGAGGTGTAGCTATTTAACATAGCCTTTGTTGCATTTGCCAGGTCCAATGAATCCTTTCTTAAAACGTTCTAGTCACAAAACTTGAATGATATATTCCACTGAAACTGCTCTTGGCAGGTTTACCTATTGCTTCAAGGCTAAATGAGGTGTAGCTATTTAACATAGCCTTTGTTGCATTTGCCAGGTCCAATGAATCCTTTCTTAAAACGTTCTAGTCACAAAACTTGAATGATATCCAGGCTCCTGGTTTTTGCTTTTCCTTTAGTTTCTCCCTTATAAAATTTTGTCTCCTACTTATCTGTATAGCGCTGATATTTCTCAGACTTTATCCATACTTCTTCTTCTCTGTTTCTCTATGTGCTTATCCTAGATATTGCACTAAACTCTATGAATATTCAATATTTGATGATTTCAAAATGTGTATATCTAAAAATGATGTCACTGGATGTTATATGTTTGCACCAAGAAGTTTTACACTCCTTGTAAGTGAACATGTTCAAATGGAATACCTCATGTCTGCCTTCTTGCCATACTTTGCTAGACTAAAACAAACACCAACCTTACTGCCCAATGTTGACACTTAAGATCAAGCTATAGCATTTGATTTTAGCCCTCTTTTGAAACTATTGATGTTGCAGGTACATTAATATACTTTTACATTCATATACATTCATATATTTTTAGAATCCCTGACTCTCATTAGGGAGCTTTGTTTAGTGGCAACGGAATTGTGAGAAGTAACTCCAAAAGCACCATACAGTGTGGTAGCAATTCTAGCTAAACTACGTTTCTGGAAGAATTTCATTTAGTTGTCATGTTTTTCTTCTTTCCCTTACTCCATCCCATTTTCTGATTGAGATTTTGTCTGTTACTAACTTGCTCCTCAGCTTTGTTTAGAGTAGTCAGAGGACTCTTTCTGAATCTCCCAAAACGTATTAAGACCCCCTTATGCTTAATAGAAGATGCAAAATGTTGTGAAAAACTCCATGTTAATCTTATTTAATATAACAACAACAGGGCTGAAGGAGTCTGATACTTAGTGTCAAATCTAGACACTTAGCCTCAGGCCTAGATGATGTCATATTGTTTATTATGCAGATTAAATTATAAAACTATTCTGACACTCTTACATTTGCATATCCCTGATTCTAACATAGGAAAGTCTAGCTTGCTCTTGCTTTTGGTAGAATAGATGTGCTGAGTGGCTCCTAAGTCTCACTCTGTAATCTGAGTGCTTTCTGAGCGCCAACATAACACCATTAAGGTGAGAAAGTGGTACTTGATGTATTGCTGTGGTTGGCAGAGAAATAACATTTCTTGTATATTTTTCATTTAAGCTTCTTTTTAATTTTTTTTGGAGAGGTTTTTGCTACAGGGCGCGTGCGCTCGCCAGACAGACAGAGAGCCACAGAGAGACAGAAAGCGAGAATTCACCCACCAAGGGGATGGCCACGCCACAATCCCTTCTCCTCCATTCTCCTCTCAGAATCTTGGGCATGCACGCACACGTGCCTGGCGTGATTTAAGCCACCGGGTCCGGGACTTGAACCACGGTCAGCTACGTGGGAATACAGCGACATAGCCATTATGCTAACTGCTGGCCCCTCATTTAAGCTTCTTTACATACTTGTCAGATACATGTTAAATGAGAGTTCAAGGACTTCCATGTTCCTATTTTTATACAATAACTGCTCTTTGCTAGTTCCTTGGCCCAGACCAACTATACTAATAACTGTTCAAATGATTTCATACTTCACCCTTTTCAAGATCATTATTAAACTGGAAAAATAAGCACAGCATTTCTTATGGAAACTCCCATTACTTGGGTATGTTAAAGTTTCACTTGATTGCTTTCAAATAATTGTTTTCTTCATAAGTAGATGATAGTCTCTGCCTAAACTATGCCCATTTCCTTAAGTAAACCTTCCTAGTTTATAACCTCCATTAGAAGAAACAAGGACTGACCATGATTTATTATATAGGAAGAGTTGGGGCACTCCTAAGAATGTGAGTGTCATAAGTAACAACATAAAAGTAACAACATGTTAATTAAAAGATGAACAATTCATTATGTAATTAAAAAACATTAATAGAATAATAGACTTGAGACACCAAAGAGGGTTACATACACGGTCCACCTGCCTCTCCTTTCTTTGATCTTGACACATCTAGTTGGTGCTTTACACAACCCTGGAAACTGGGTCCCTATTTTTATTTGAAAATATCCTGAAAAAAGTTGACACAATTGTTTGACTTACTTCTATTTATTACTTTTGTCTTATAGAAAACAGGACATATAAAGAGAGCAGAGTTCTTGATTATAGTGGTAGATATATTTCAACTTAGGAATGATTCTGGAAATCCTTTATGTCATCTGTCTTTAGATGACATGTTAATTTTTGTGCACGAACCCAACCCTATCAGTGCTTTAATCAATTCAAAGTTATGAGTCTTTTCTTTTTATCCCAATTTAATGAACTAGTCACATCTTTGTAATTTTGATCAAATAGTTTCTAAGATAAAAATTACTCTCCAAGTCTCAAAAATACCACAGACATAATCATTTACATTGATTATCTGTTCCTGAACATCCTGAGGGTTAGGATGAGGAAGAATGTATTGCACAGGTTTGTACATGGACTTCTGGTCATGTAATCGTAGACCCATACTCACCTCATGGGCCTTCCTTGGATGACATGGACTGATCTGATCTTCATTTCTACATTGTGGCTTCTACCAGTGCGTTTGTTAGATTATGAAAGCTGTTTATTAAAGATCTGATATTAGAAGCACTCTGATTTAGAAATAAACATTATTAAAATCTTCCTAAAGAAAAGGATGATTTCTCACAATGATAAAACTCATGCTTCTTTTATTGCCCAAAATAAAATGAAGTGAATAAGTAAGAGTCCTTGGTGAATTAGCTTCTAACGTCATTAATGAATCTTTCATGTAATAAATTTTGGCAAAGATCCTGAAACATGTATCAT